ACTTTATAATCCAAAAAATACAACAACAGCAACAACAAAATCAAACGGAGTGGAGGGGGGGTGGTTAGAGAGGAATAAGAAAGGCGAAAGACGAACGAGTTGCGAATTGCGTGCCCCCAAGGGGGTACCACAAACCCCCACCATATCGTCGTCAGAAACCCCCTTCAAATCAATTCAATAACTCCTGCCACTGTGTGCGTGTGTGCGTAAATAAGCGAATGAACGAATGACTGACTGACTGACTGAATGACTATTTGACTGACTAACTGACAAAACCCCCAACCGAAAACCCACGTTTTCGTGCCAACTTCAACTTGCAAAATGTTTGATTTATGCCTTTGAATTGTTGTAAATTGCCAGGGCCCTTTTTAAGCCCCCCCTCGAACACCCCTTGTATTTTCCTAAAATCCAGCACACCCCAGGCAATTGACAAATAATGCAAAAATTCTGGGGAAATTACCTGCGATTTGAGGTCTTTAAGTTGATGAATTGTCTGTCAGTGGGAATGAATGAATAAGTGAATGAATTATTCGATCGAATGACTGAATAAGGGCATCAAAATATTCAATTGAACTGCTAATTTGGCTTTATTATTATAAAGTTAAATATTTTTGGTAAAATATTTACAGTCCTTGTAGAAGTCTTTAGATATTCCCAAAAATGTCTTTGTAATATTTCTTTCTGACGAAAATAACTTATGAAAGTAACCTCATAAATATCTTAAATTTGGATATTATCAGATAAATCATTATCGATAGAGTAAAAGTTTTTGACGAAGTCTTGGTTTTTTTTGGGGGGACTTTCGATGTAACTACAGCAGGAACTACTCCTCCATATGTGACCTCTTTCGAGGTCTTTGTTTCAGCTTTGTATTTCTGTTTGCTTTTCTCCGCTTTTATTTTGTTTTGTTTTCACTCTTTTCTTTTATTATTTTTTTTTTCCTTCATTTCTGTTTGCGCTCTCGCTAGTCATATTCTTTGTTATCTTTTGTTGCAAATTGCCAACTTGGGCATTGCCAGTTGCAAAAATGCAACATCCACAGCGATACAAACAAACAAAAGCCTTGGCGTCAAAGCTCTGGGGTGCACTTGGCAGACTTTAAAGCTGCCTCCCTCTCTGCAAATGCCCCTTTTCTTTTTTTTTTTTTTTTATCACTCGAATGCCTCCCCACAAAACCCCCTCGAATATATCGCGAGCCAACAATACTCCTATGCCAACACTTGAAACAATCAAAAATCAATGACAAGCTGTACGGCAAGAGCGAACACTGAAAAAAATCAAGTTTAGAGCAATTTCAATTTTAATTTGAATTTAATTAGATCATAGCTAAGAATTTAATCTAGTGCAGATGATAAAATCCAAGTAGAACAATATAACTGTAAATAAATATATATTTTTTATTGCAACAAATATTTCTCTCTGTATGGCACATTAAATTCAGCAAGGAGCTGTAGAAAAAAAAACCAGCTGACGACATTGAGACGTAGCTTCTTCCCCGGCTGTTGCCTTTTACTCATTTGTCTTTTGGCTTTTTGGAAATTAACAACAGAGTCATCCCCCAGCCAGCCTCCCAAAGCGAGCAAACCCCCCTCGTACCACCCACCTGATGTTGATGTTGCTTCTGGCAAAAGTTACCCCTTTTTTATATGCGCTATCTCTATCCATCACTACAGCCAGTCAAACGTGTAGATATATATATATATATATATACATATATATTTTAAAATTTTTATGCCCGAATGAATTTTAATTCCTTTGACGGTTTTTGCCTCTACCATTGGCAGCTGACGGCCTAAAAGTCTAAACAGAAAAAGTAAAACACAGAAGAGAATTATTTTATAAGCAAGCCCTGAAGAGCTTCGTCCTGTTTGTGTGTGTCTTTGATTGCTTATTGTTAATTTGTATTTGTAGATTGGTGTATGTGTGTGTGGGTGTGTGTGTGAGATGCTGCTGCTCGCTGATTAAACCCTTTTTTTACACCCCCACCACCACCCACTCGCAATGTTGAAAGCCCTTGCCTCATGTGGAATATATATATGTGTATAGAGACAGACTGAAGCATAACCTTAATTCCTTTTGGCATTTTATGCTTCCTTCTTTTGCACAGAAAGAAATTATGCTTAAATTGCATTTTCAAAAAGTAAAATGTGTTCATGAAATAATCATGCTAGACTATTCCACGGTTTTTATAAAAATTGAGATTTTTTTTATTTATAAAATCTTTACCAACACAATAAATTTTTCTTTGTGCAAACGAAACTCCTGCTGCCAATTGCGCGACGTTTCTCGTCTTTTGCCTTCGAGTGTTTGTTATTGTTGGTTCAGATACCAACCTCCTTCTCCAAAAACACGCCAGTTCCCGGTCCCCCATCTACAAAAAAAACCACCATACATGCATATTGACTGTTTCGTCAATTGTTATGCAAAGGGTAAAACGAAATGCAGAGCATGGGGGGGTATGAGTACTTTTTGGCTGCTTGGCAATTTTGTTAATTACAAATCGTTTGCTTTTCGCTCGCTGCTAATGTTCCGCATTCCCATTCTATCAATATTCAAGGCAAAAATTATTACCCAGACTAAGGAAAATCCAACTGGATACAACTCTCCTGTCCAGTCTTTTGTCCAGCTTTTCTGTTGGTTTTCATTTGTGTAAGTGTGAGTTGGGAAAAATGTAAATTTTCATAATTTTCACAGTCAATACAGGAGGCGAAAACCAACACAAAAGTCCTCAAAAATAAACCCCCCCTAACCTCCCATCAAAGTATTTGTTATAGTTTGTTTGATTGCTGTTAGATGTTATATATACATACATATATATATATAAATATATATATATATATATAATAACCCCACCAGTTTTGAAGCCTCATCAACCACAGAAGAGTTGCAGAAAGTTTGTGCTCAAGGGTTGAAAATGATTTCTGCTGTCTGTGTGCTGTGAAATCCAAAAAGTTGATTTATCGTTTTAATATTTCTTTCGTTAGGGCGTTTTTTGAAAATTTTTGTGGAAATACAAGAATTGAAATGACAATTTCGACCCCTTCAAAATGTTTCGTCCTTTCAATTTGCATACATACTCGGCATTGTTGCCAAACTTCATTTTTCATTTATGTTTACTAATTAAGGTTCTCGGATAAATTACCTTAAAGATTGACACATTGAATTGAGATTCTGTGGTACAGTTGCCACATGTGATACTACTTATCCGTGTGTGTGTGCCCATTTAAAAGTAAGGTGAAGCAAAAATCCATTTCCCGCTACTTTCGCTAATTAGGTTTATTTAAGAAAGCTGAAAAATTTTCGAAAATAAAAAGGGAAAGAGAAGATGTGGAAGTTGAGTTGTCTACCAAGCAGTTGGCAATTAGAAGAGCCACCCCTTTTGAGGACCTCAAAACCTCCTGGCTTACCGCACCCATACGATTTTTATGCAATTAATTTGAGTCGTTTGTCGTCTTGTCATGTCTCTCGAAAAAGGGTGGTTCGTTTAGTAAGTCTGTGTGTATTCCATAGTCTCTGTGTGTCCCGTATGCTAATGAAAAATCGAACACGCATGCCAACATTTTTCTACTACCCCCTGCCATTTGGAAAAGCAAGGAAACTCCCATTCCAAATCCCCAACCCAAACCCTTTCCCATGTCCTGGATCCTTTGATTGATAATAGAATTAACCGGCTGGCGGCTGTTTTGCATTTTTTGGCATGCCACATGGCAATACACGCATGTTGTTGATGCTTTTTTAATGCCAATTATGTGCTATTGGTTTCTGGGCCCATTGTTTATGGCCAATAATCATCAGTGTTCGTTTTGGCCCATCCACAAATATTGATAAAATAGACACGTGAAGTTGAGCCTATATATATATGGTGTTCCCATGTTGATGAAATTTTTGTTTATGCCCATGTTTAACACAAATCACGCAATGACACGCAAATTCGTAGTTAGAATTATGTTGATTCCACCAACTTATTTATTTGCATATGGGTTAAAGTTTTACTCATACTCCTTCATAGTTTTTCGTCTTACTTTTGGTTGACATTATAAAGAAAATTATATGATTGATCGGCAAACCAATTTTGGTTGTTAATCAACAATTAAACTGTTTCTTTTTTTTATTATTATTATTGGTAGGTTATGTTGGGCTTTTGGTTCCCTGACAGGTGCGTCAATTAAAAACCGCGCCATAAAATTAATTTTAATCACATAACAACAAATACACAAAGGCACACACATATGAAGGATTGTGGGACACTGGGAGGAACACGCCCACCTGTCATTAAATTTTCGCTGCATACCACACGGCGCTGCCGAAAAACTTTATCTTGTCAACTTTTGCCAAGAACGAAAATCGTGAAAAAGGGGCCGGGGGTTCTCTTAAATGTGAGGGGTTGCAAGAAAATTAAGAAGAGATGTATGCATATATGTGTGTGTGTGTGTGTGTGTCGTCGACGCACTTAAGAAAAATTCCCTTGTCAAATTTGCCAATTATCATATTTTCATCAAACAAACAAAGTTCCCAAACAAAGCCCACATCAGCAACGCTGGAGCTGGAGGCTGGGGGCTGGGGCTTCACTGTACCTGGCGGCATTTGGCGGTTGGGTGGTTTGTGCCATCACCACCACCACCACCACCAGCGTCAGCATCAGCATCAGTCCCTGACAATCACCGCCGAGCGACATTGACGTCGTTATTAATTTTATTAAAAATTATTTTATAACTCTCCAGGACTTTTTACACACACGCACGTCTACACACACATGTAAGAAAATGTGAATTTTCCCAGAAGGCAAATGGGGAAAACTTGAGAGAAGAGCAATCGATAGGATATGGCAATAACATTTAGATAAGGTTGCCTATGATTTCGAGAGCTGCAGAAACTATAATTGATTAGCCATTTCTGAAGGATATATTATTTTTAATATTATTATTAATATTAATATTGAAATTTAAGACATAGTTATATAAAATTCTATTAACTCAATTATAACATGCTCTTCATTCTAGATTAAAGCACTTCTGGACGAACTGCAACGCTTAAGGGCCCTGGAGCAAACGCACCTTGTTCAGATTCAGCGACTAGAGGAGCATCTGGAAGTTAAGCGTCAGCACATTATGCGATTGGAGGTCCGTCTCGATAAACAGCAAATCAACGAAGCACTAGCCGAGGCAACTGCTTTGGCTGCTGCTGCTGCTAGCAACAACAATAACAATAGCCAAAGCAGTGACAACAATAAGAAGTTAAATACCACTGGAGTTACACCATTGGATGCATCATCGTCTATTGGCGATCTACCCGAAATGGCAAAAGGTCCAGTACCCACGGAAGATGAGGATGATGGCGAGGATCAGGCTATGCTGGTAGACTCTGAGGAAGCAGAGGACAAACCAGAGGTACCTCATCACCACGACGAGGTCGATGACGAGGAGGAGGACGAGACCGAGGATCGGGAGGCGGTCAATGCCACCACAACCGATAGCAACGAGCTCAAAATCAAAAAGGAACAGCAGTAAGAATATTTAAAATTATAGGAAATTGGAAATAATACAATTTTCTTATTTATTAATATTTATATCGATAACTTCTATAAAATAGATATTTGTTGTCCCTTTTCAGCAGTCCATTGCTCAGTCCACAATCGGCAATCGCCGCTGCGGCTGCGGCCGCCGCTGCCGCCGCCTGCGCCAATGACCCCAACAAATTCCAGGCGCTTCTCATCGAGCGGACCAAAGCCTTGGCCGCCGAGGCGCTAAAGAACGGCGCCAGCGATACCATTAGCGAAGGTGAGTCCCAAGTTCGCGTTGCACTTATCACCTGGGATATGATTTTTTTAGTAGGGTCTATCGATTTATAAGGTTTTCAAAATCATAATCAATATCGAATCTAACCAATGGTTTCGCATTTCGGATATTTTAAAAAATATTTTATAAAATATTCTAAACAATTTTTGATATATTCTAAAACTTGTAATAAATCGATTCACCCTAATGTACGATACTGTACTTCCGGTTTGTCTTGCTGCTGTTTGCCTCTTCTTCCTTCCTCCATCCTGCTTCCTCCGCCTGTCCGATATTTCTTGGTTTTATAAATTGCTTTGATTTGAAACCGACGACGACTACGCTGTATTTCTTGTTGTTATTTTTTTTTTTGTTTTATGGTTTATTTGACCGCTTATCGCCGGCGGAGGATAAACCATCCGATGAAGAAGAACAATTATATATGAGGTTAAGAGGGGGAGGGGGTGGACGATGGTAAGGGGGGTTTCAATAAAGGCAGACGGCGCCAGATTTTATGGGCCAAAAAGGCAAACAGCTCCTCTTCTTTTTTCCCATTTTTCATTTTTTTTTTTCTTACTTGGTTTTTATTTCCACCTCTGACAAAATATTTGCATCAAGCTAATGTGAGCGTTCGATGGTTATTGTTACTCTTGTTGTTTTGTTGATATCAATGTTATCGTTGTTGTTGCTGTTAATCATGATGTTCATGTTGTTGCTGTGTTCTGCATGTTTATCGATAGCAGAAAGACACACTCCAACTCTCTTTATCGCTATTTTCAATCATAAATCGTTTTTATAAGCCATCGTTATACATATCTATCTTTATACATATATTTATATATACATATATACTCCAACACAGCAGAGATTCTTTGTTATTTTGTTGCACTAAATTGGCGTACAAAAAAAAAAAAAAAAAAATTGAAAAATCAAATTGATAATTTAAAAATTTCATTAAGAAAAAACAAAGAACCGGCTAAAGACAAATTTTGATTAATTTTTGGCGTTTTGTTCCATGGATGTATGTTGTTGACCAAAAATAAAACAAAACAAAATATACAATCAAATTATGATCTTGCTTTAAAAAGCAGCAACAACAAATAGCCCAATTTGTTTGTTGTTATCCCCAGAAATCAACCGAAATGATGAAGAAGATAAAGAAGAAGAAGTGTCGCCAGCAGCAACTGCAGAACTTTCAACACTTGCCCCATCTGCAACATTAGCAGCAACATCAAGTGAAATGGAAGCTAAAGCTAGCAATGAAATGGCGCCCAAACAGGAAGTCGAAGATGTGGACGATGATGACAACGATCCGATGATCCTGCCAGAGCAACTGGTCAACGACTATTGGCGACGGGGGTTTGAATCGGGCCAAAATACAAACACAACCAGCATAGCAGCAATTCCAAGGAGCAAAACGCCAACAAATTATCAAAATCTTAGGGCCGAGCAACAGGCACAATTGCTGCCGCCACCACCGCCCCCGCAACAGCAACAGCAACATCTACACTTTCCACAGCAACAACATCAACAACAACAGCAACATGGACCATCGTCCACAGCCTTGCTTAGTCAACTGGTTAACTCAACATTTTCCAACTCTTCTTCTCGCATAGATGCCCACCATCAACAGCAGCAACACCACCAACAACAGCAACACCACCAGCAAAATCACCACCAGCAGCAACAACACCTCCATCAGCAACATCACCATCACCTGCAACAGCAGCAAAATAGCGGTAGTAACAGCAATCCAGCGACCAATGATAGTTTGAACCATCATCATGGACACCATTTGCATAGCCATGCCTTATTGCATCCATCGGCGGCGCATCATTTGCATCATCAACAGAATGAATCCAGTTCGAATTCGAGTACACCGACAGCTGTTGGAATTATGAGTAATAATAACGTTGGCAACAATAGCACTGGCAACACGAATGCCACCAGTAACGCCACCGTTCAATTGGCCGCCAGTTTGGCCAGTTCACTGAATGGCAACAAATCGTTGTTAAAAGAGGATAGCAATGGTTTGGCCGCTGCCGCAATGGCTGCTCATGCCCAACATGCGGCCGCATTGGGTCCTGGATTTCTGCCCGGCCTGCCAGCTTTTCAATTTGCCGCCGCCCAAGTGGCCGCCAGTGGTGATGGCCGGGGTCATTATCGTTTCGCAGACTCGGAATTACAATTACCACCGGGTGCATCGATGGCTGGTCGTCTTGGTGAATCCCTTATACCCAAAGGTGATCCCATGGAGGCCAAGTTGCAAGAGATGCTACGTTACAATATGGACAAATATGCCAATCAGGCATTGGACACCCTGCATATATCGCGACGTGTCCGGGAACTTCTATCGGTTCACAATATTGGCCAGCGACTGTTTGCCAAATACATTTTGGGTTTGTCGCAGGGCACCGTTTCCGAGCTGTTGAGCAAACCAAAACCGTGGGACAAGTTGACGGAGAAAGGACGTGATAGTTACCGCAAAATGCACGCCTGGGCCTGTGACGATAATGCCGTCATGCTGCTCAAATCGCTGATACCCAAGAAAGGTGAGTGGATTAGTCAGTAAACGTGATATATATGTATATAATAGGCGGGGGGCTTAATAAGTTGGACATGTGAGCCGTACGAAAAAGTTGCCAAGTTGTCTAACAAATGAGTGAAAAGGATGTGAAGGATTTTTTCAGAAAAACAAATTATTTAACATATTTAAAAGATTTTTATGAAAGTCAGGAAGGTAAATCGTGAAACTTAGTTAATTAAACCTTGAAAAGTATACAACTAATTAATTATATCTATTTATAAAAATATTTTTAAAGAACTTGAAATGGGTTTTTTAAACTTCCCCAATCCTTTATAGTTCATTGTACTAGTTTTTGAAAGCCGATTCAAACCTTTAGGCTATAACCGATTGAAGAAAATCCTTCAACTCGAACTTCAAACGATGTCCTCTCTTTCTCTCTTTCATACATTCTTTTTCTCTCCTATTTTATTATTTTGTGTTGTTTTTTTTGCGGCTTTTGGCGTTTTTCATTTCATTTGGCCGGCGGCCAAAACATTAAATTGTGAAATTTTAATTATTTTTGATTTTTGCGTATAATCAACGTGCCAACAGCAGCCACACAGCAGCAGCGACAAACTTGACGACGCCATTTTCTGAGGAAGAGGGGGTTGAGTGGGGTATACAAGGGAGGTGGGGTGGTGGAAAGTGGACCAAAGAGAGACATTTGCGGTGCAGTTGGAGCGGCCATTTGCCTGTCGCCATAAATTTCGGCAAACTCGCACATTAGGCGTGAAAATGAACAGGAATTCGTTTCATTTTGTCTCGCTTTTAGATTTTTTTTTTTCTGTGCTTAGGTTAGTTTTTGTTTTTCAGTTACTGTAGATCTTGAAAACTGCATTCTAAAGCTTCCATATCTACATTTAGACGAACATCTACCCATTTATTTATATGGTGAATTCAACCGCAATTCGATTCCTTTAGTTTAACTTATTTAATTAGTTTTACTATTTAAAGTGACTTTTAAAGTACGCCCATGTCTGCTCTTGTTATCTAGTTGTCTTGGTTTCCCGCTCCCTTATTGATTAGTCATCAATTTTATGGCCGGCAAACTTTCTGGCACCGGGAAAAGCGAAAATATGTCAATGCAAAAGTATGTTTAAAGTGCCAGCACGCATTCTAGACCGAGCCCCTTTTAGGCCCCTCTGAATCCTGTTTTTTTTTTTTTTGCCTAGGCACCTAACTCACCTGCCACAAAAGTTAATCAAATGTGTGTGACTGTGCGTGTATGTGTGTTGGTCTAAGTGCATGCAAATGTTGACAATTAATTTATGGCGATTACTCATGGCAGCTAAACTAACTGTGACTGTTTATAGAGAGAAGTCGCTGGATGTCAGAGATGGGGTTAAAGTTACCCAGCAGAGGGTTATGAGCGTAGGATAGGGGTGTAGACCAAAGGCTAAAGTGCAACAGAGGTTATCCTTTACTTTTTTATTAGCTACTATTGCTAATTATGGGTAAATATAAATATAATTTGAATTTTAAAATTGAAAAGAAATCTGTAGAAAGTCAGAAGAAGAAAAAATGTTCAATAAAATCATCTTGATCTATGATCGTACACTTTTTTTCAAGTGAACTTTCCCTATCCTATTCTAAATTCCCTCGACGCCACCATTCAGCAGCTATTCGCCCCTGTCAACTCTGTTGGTTAACAATACTTTGAAGTCATTGTGGCAAAAGTTAACCCAGGATGCGCGTCAATGAATTTTGAATTGTAATTGTTTAAAGCGCGTTATGAGCGAAACGGTTAAAATGGGTGGTCATAAAGTGGGTTGCTGGGTGGGTGGTTCGGTGAAAAGTAGAGAAAGGTGGCGAAAATTAAAAGAGGGCGGGGTGAGTGGTAGGGGATTCGACGCGACGACTGCCGTGACAATTCGTCTGTGAAAGGCTTGAAACAAAATACAACAGAAAAAAATCATAAAAAAACAAAAAAAAATTATAAAAACAAAAACAAAATAAGCATACATACATATAGCGAAACAACGTGAAGTTGAATTAAATGTAAACAACAACCAGCGATGACGACAACGGCAACAAGAATCATAACAGCAACTGCAACAGCAAGAACAACAACAGCAGCAGGAACAGGAAAAATAACAGCAACAACAAATACGAACTGCAACTGACTTCAACGAGGCATGCAAAACGTTGACATGCCGAGCGTTTGAAGTCGTCTTTGTGGCTGGCCAAGTGTATGTAGGTGGTTCAGGGTGGTCGGCCTGGTATGGTAGTATGGTAGTGGGTGGGTGGTTAGTAGTATACCCACTGTGGGGTAAGGACAGCACCACTAGCTTGACGCAAAAGTTTTTGCGTTTTCGGTTTGTTTTCCCTATTTCTTTGCCTGCCTTCTATTTGTTTTTTCTTTCTCTTTTTTTTTGTTGCAACATTTGACGACAATTGTTGCATATTAAACTGCACCCGAAGGGTTAAGGTTTTAAAAGGGTGAGACACGGGGGTACGAGGTCAAAGCAGGGCATTTATCGATAAAAAGAATAGGGGAATATAGAATATCAGTTTACATTTTCCATTTAAAGGCTTTCGCCTGTAGAATATTACCTATAAACTGTCATTACTAGGTGGTAATATTTTCTGAATACATATTTTGATTTTATATATGACTATCAGGGACCTTTGACTTTCCTTTTATATGCTCTCCCACCCCTTCCTCTTGGTTAAAGTTTACCCAAACCACAAACGCACAAAAAACTGTTGACAGGACTTTTACAAAATGCTAGAAAAATAGGAAAGACTGGGGGGCGAGTTAAGTGCTCAATTGAAACTCGTTTAGCATGGCGCTCAAAGCCAAGGCAAATACAGCAAAAGAAACAAAAAATTACGCAGCGTATACGTAATGACAAAAGCGTAGAATGAAGAATGGAGTTATTTTTTCCCCTGGGGTAAGAGTCTGAAGAAGAGGAGTTGGAAAGAATATAAAGAGGGAGGCAAACGGAGCCATTATAGCAGCTAATAATACTAGCATATTAACACATAATTTTCAGCAGACACTGTCGTTCTCATTTATTTGCTTTTAGCCAGGCCAACTCGGGCCAGGCCAAAAAAAAAAAAAAAAAAAAAAAAAAGAGTGCGAGTGCGAGTGCCCAAGAATAGAACCAAAAACACAACGCATACGGGATTCGACAAAACAAAAGCATTCCAAACGCCAGAAGATGCGGCTGAATAAAAAGCCAAAAAAAATAAGAAAAAACGAAAAAGCAAGGCAGACTGCCACACATTTATTTGCGGCCGCTTCACAAATTATTTGTCACAAGCCATAAAGCGGACTAAAAGTATGTGTGTTGGTTGATGCCACACGAAGAAAATAAAAGAAATACTGGGAAATATTGCTCTGACTAAGTGACCAACGGGGCGTATCAATTCCTTCGCTTTTACGCGATACTTGGCTTCTCTTGATTGTATTTCATTTTATTTGATTTTATTTATAAACACATTAAAGACACGGTACCGTCTTAGGGATGTGCATATATCGGTTGTGAGGTCAATAATTATATCGAAAAGAATATACAAAATTTTATGAAATCATTCATATTCTATAAAAAAAAAAAAAAAAATAACATAATATAGCATAGCATAGCATAGCATAATAGCATAGCAGAGCATAATACTTCAAATATCCTTAATTGCAGGCTATCGTAATGTCATATTATCCAAAAAAAAAAAAAATCTATCGATCTTTTAGAATCATCCCTAAAATCCAACTCTTGTCATGCAGCCATTAAAATATTCTTCATTGAGTGGCATCGCATAAGTGTGGCGACTCATTGCGGTAACAAAACAGACAGATGAGGTGATTTTTTTGGGGGAGAAAGAAGGTGGAGGTTTGGCTGCGTGGGCTGCCCAAACAATACGCATAAATTAACATAAAGCTCGCTCAACAATTTTCATAAATCTGACGATCGCTAGCAACAAGAACAAAAAGATCAACCCAGCCGAGTAGCGTAGCTAAAATTTATTTTATTTTGAATTTCTTTGATATCTTCTGTGATGAACGAAATGAGGCAATCAGGAATGAAAGAGCCCCGGCCTAAGAGTAATGGCCTCCGATCAGGGAGTGCTAATAATTTGATGAGGACTAACCGAAAAATAATATAATAAAAAAAATTAATAAAATAAAACAAACAACCCAGAGCAAACGAAAAAAATAAATAACCAGACAAAATGGGAAACTTTTGAGCTCCATCGGCACCGCCACACAGACACACACACACACACACACATACAATAAATTTAATGTTGCACATGTCGTGTTCGTGCTTGATTTTTGTGCTTTTTATTTTGCATATAAGGCAGCTAATTACTTTGTAATGAACTTTGACAACAGTAGCAGTAGCCGAGGAAGGAAATAAAAAGAAGAGTGGCTTGAAAGGTGAAAGAACAAAGCGAAATCATGACGAAAACAAATTAAAATGCAAGACAAAGTTGCTGCACGTTTCCCATTCCATGCAACAAATTCCTGGCTGCTGGCTCTGTCTCCCTCTCACTGTCTCATCTCTTTCACACCCTTGTTGGTCGTCTCTTACTCCTATATTTTCTGCTTAATTGCAAGACAAACAATGAGTGCGAAGAAGCAATTGGAATGGGCTTAAATGGCAATGAACGTTTGTATTTCTTTTTTTTTTTTTTTTTTTTTTGATAACAGGTGACGACTCTGTACACTGCAGTGCAGAAGAAACCCACATTCGTTGAAACCTTAACCTCCCCCTTTATGTTTTCGTCTTGTCGAAACTCTTCAATTCGCTATGCTACGTTTGCTTTCTGCTCAACTAGAACAAGAAGCCTCCGATTTCATTCCCAATTCCATTTGAAGGCACTTCTATATAGCCACCCTACCAACTCACAAGGTTGTCTTCATGTTTTTTTTTTTTTTGTTTTTAATTGACACTTTTGCTAATACACAGGAACAACAACGAATGGATAGCTGACAAAATGGGAGATGGCAAAAAAAAGGGGGTCCAAAGGAGTCACTGAGTCGGGGGAAAAAAGGAAAAACAAATGACTGGCATTTTAATTAGAAAATTTTTCTTGCAATTAATGCAAATTGCGTGCGTGTGCCAATTTCAATGTGCCGCTCAATTCCGTCCTCCCATTATTTTTATTTTTTTTTTTTGTTGTCGCATATTTTTATACATATATATATATATGTATATAAAAATATATAACCCTTTCAGATCGACGCGACATGTTGAAGTATGATTACATATTTGTGTGCTGGCAAATATTTATTGTATTAGAATAAAAAACAAACGAATCAACCCCAAGGCCCCAAGACCTTCTAGAGCCAAAGCAGCCCACTTCACTCCACTGTCTGGGCGGAATACCCTACTCCTTGGTTCTTCGTCCTCTGATTTGTTATAAAAGGCAAATATTCATCAAGCAAATTGCCAAAAAGAGAAGCAGGGGGGGTTGAGCTTACAAAGATGAGATAGATTGTCATATAAAAATATACGATATATACATATGTATATATTTTGGTATGTGCTAGACAAATATGATATCTCATATCTGGTGCGCATATTTCCTCTGTCCGATTGCCGGGTCCGAAATCCCTTTGAATGACAATTTGGTCAACATGTTCCTCTCTAATAAATTACAAAACAAAAAATTCAAAGCAGCATCTGAATGGTGTGGGTTACACAACACACAACGGAAAAAATAATGTAAATCGCAGACAAAAAAGTGGCCAACGGTAACGACAAATATATATATATATATATCCATATCTGCTGCCTCAACCAAATAACCTCGCCATATATATATATAAATATATATAGTAAAAAGTTGAATGATGGCCATAAAGGATGGCAGCGAAAGTTGGGCCAAAAAACTGCGGGCACTTTGAGGGGAGTCCTTCGGAAAATAGGAGGGATTTGGAGGGTCGAGAGCTTTGTCTGCTCAACAAATGAAATGCGCCACGTGAGACTCTTAAATTTGTTGCCCAAAATATTTGAAATAATGTCTACAAATAAATTAGAAACTTGTAACAACAAATAGGACTTTAAATTGTACATTATTAGTTCGATCAGCTCTTAAACTCGAAACATAAGTTCAGGTATATCTATAACCAATGACTCAGTTTTAAAGCTCTCTACTCTTGGCCATTCAACAATCCAGGCCCCTAACCAACTCAATCCAATCCAAACCCATCCCTCCCATCCACAATCATCCACTAAGACCGCTTAAGCTGTCTGTGTCTGACCAACACCATACCATCGCTTTGTTCGATCCCATCTCTGGTCTGGGTCATTCCAGGTGTCATCAATGTCATCTTCGACTTTATAACACAAAAACACTTTGTAATCCCCAAATGAAGCGACGACAAGGAGCCCACATAAGGACGACAAAAAAAAAAAAAAAAAAAATTGCTCACACAAAATGATTTTTCCAATTTTTATGCTATGGCAACCAAAGCTAAACCAAAATGGGAAATGGAAAAGGAGGAGGATCTATTGTAGTTGGCCATTTTATCGCCTTTATCCATCTACTCGTATCTGGGTGGAGTCCACAGTCTCAGCTCTCCACTTGTTGTGGCCCCCATAGATTCCACCTATTTTTCAAATCTCTCGCTTCAATGGCTGTCAGCTAGGATGTTGAATGGAGGAAAGAGGAAACGTTACCCGGTGCCTGGACATTTGTCATTCATGTGTTGATTTCCGTTTCCGCTAGCGTCCAATTCTTGCAGTTTTATTTGCGGGCAAGTGTTTGCTCCTTTGGGCATCGATTATGCTTGGCAATTGTAAAGCGATTTTCGGTTATTTCATTTCGCTAACCATTCCTACGCTCCCGCCTCCCACCTCCACAAAAACACTCCGCATTGCGTTCCATTCCGCTGAACGTGTGTGGCTGATTGATGTTTTTGCTGTGGCAGCCACAAAAACATGCCGCAGGACATCACACAGGAAATTCAATGGTGCGCTGCCCGCCGCCATGCCATGCCATGCCATCGTATGGGCATATTCATACTCCTAGTTTGTATGTGGGTGGCTCGAACCACTTGTGTGATTATTTTGCAATTTACCACTCGATTCTCTGTCACGAGAGAAGCAAAAAGCCAAAAAGCAAAACGCTTCTCCATTTTCAATTGAATTTCAGCAAAACAATTTTCAGTTTTCATTTTTTTTTTTTTTACCCCTACCACTCAATTTTATTTCTTTATTTTTTGCATTTCCTCTGACCGCTCTTTCAATTGCAATTGAATTCATTCATTTATTCATTTCGTTTCGTTTCGTTTCGTTTATTCAACTCCTGGACGCTCGCTTCGATGGGCATTTCCTTGGGTTTGAGGCTTGGCGCGTGCCAAATTAGCGCAAAGCTTTTGCATCGAACAACTATTTGAGGTCCAGCGCAACAATAAATAAAAAATAATATTTTTTGTATACCATTCATGTCCACCGTTTATGCTGGCTGGCTATTAATTGAGCAGCCCCTTCCTGCCCATTTTCGGGGGCATTCGCAAATTTTCTGTCAGTGCATTGGATGGGCGATTAAAGGGAAGAAGAGGCGTGGCATTTGGTGGACACTTGGCGGAACCCTTTCAACTGCATCACCGCTTTATGGCCGCAAATTCGCTTTGGCTTTTTTGAACGCTTTATGGCTTAATTGGTTTCGGTCTGGTTTGAGTTTCATGTCCACGTTTTTAGGTCCCCAAGGTTCATGTCCATTTCCATTTCCATGTCCTGCCAATCGAGCAAGCATACCTCATATAAATGAGCGCTGGGCTTGGCATAAATTTTTACAGCATTTAATGGGCTTTACGATCATCAACCTCCTACTAATATCTGGAATATATATATTTTTTTTTTGTAGATTCTGGCCTGCCGCAGTATGCAGGTCGTGGGGCCGGCGGCGATGATTCCATATCCGAGGATCGGATTGCTCATATCCTCAGCGAGGCCTCCTCTCTGATGAAACAGAGCAATGTGGCCCAGCATCGGGAGCAGGAGCGTCGCAGTCACGGCGGCGAGGATTCGCATAGCAACGAGGATAGTAAATCGCCACCGCAAAGCTGCACATCTCCGTTCTTTAAGGTGGAACAGCAACTGAAGCAGCACCAGCATCTCACTCCCGATCAGGCTGCTGCCGCTCAGCATCGGGAAAGGGAACGCGAACAGCGGGAAAGGGAGCAACAGCAGCGACTGCGGCATGAGGATTTGGCCCAGGACAAGATGGCTCGTCTCTACCAAGAGCTGATTGCACGCACTCCCAGGGAAACTGCTTTTCCAAGGTGGGTTTCATTTTGAAAAGTATAGATGACTTCTCATCTCCAAACCTATTTCAATCATTATTTAATTTATTTTTGTTATCGTTTATCCCACAGCTTCCTTTTCTCTCCATCTCTTTTCGGAGGAGCTGCTGGCATGCCAGGAGCAGCTAGTAATGCCTTTCCCGCCATGGCCGATGAGAATATGCGCCATATGCTCGAACGCGAATTTGCCAAGCTTCAGCAGCACCAGCAGCAACAACAGGCTGCACAAGCGCAGGCTCAGTTCCCCAATTTCTCAAGCCTGATGGCTCTGCAACAGCAGGTCCTCAATGGAGCACAAGATCTTTCGTTGGCCGCCGCTGCTGCCAAAGATATCAAGCTAAATGGTCAGCGATCTTCTTTGGAGCACAGTGCCGGCAGTAGCAGTTGCTCAAAGGATGGCGAGCGGGATGATGCATACCCAAGCTCGCTACATTGCCGCAAATCTGAGGGTAGCGGTACACCAGCACCACCTGTCCCGCCATCTGGCCAAGCTGGAGCCGGAGCACCACCTACAGTAGTACCACAAACTGGAGGCGCAAGCAGCAATTCGGCAGCGCCCAGTCCGCTAAGCAATTCAATCCTTCCACCAGCATTGAGTAGCCAAGGTGAGGAGTTTGCCGCAACAGCAAGTCCTCTACAGCGAATGGCATCGATTACCAACTCATTGATCACCCAACCACCGGTTACGCCTCACCATAGTACACCACAGCGACCCACGAAAGCTGTGTTGCCACCGATAACTCAGCAACAGTTCGATATGTTCAACAACCTAAACACTGAAGATATTGTGAGAAGGGTGAAAGAGGCTCTCTCCCAGTATTCCATCTCACAGCGATTGTTTGGCGAATCCGTATTGGGTTTGTCGCAGGGTTCCGTTTCTGATTTACTGGCCAGACCTAAACCTTGGCACATGCTTACCCAAAAGGGTCGTGAGCCCTTTATCCGCATGAAGATGTTCCTGGAGGATGAGAATGCGGTACACAAACTGGTGGCCAGCCAATATAAGATTGCTCCTGAAAAGCTAATGCGAACGGGCAGTTACAGTGGAAGTCCACAAATGCCACAGGGATTGGCCAGCAAAATGCAAGCAGCCTCACTACCAATGCAGAAAATGATGAGCGAACTGAAGTTGCAGGAGCCGGCACAGGCTCAGCACTTAATGCAGCAAATGCAGGCGGCCGCCATGTCGGCAGCAATGCAACAGCAGCAACAAGTAGCACAGGCGCAACAGCAGGCACAGCAAGCGCAGCAGGCCCAACAGCATTTGCAGCAGCAGGCGCAGCAGCATCTGCAACAGCAGCAACATCTAGCCCAGCAACAACATCCACATCAGCAGCATCATCAAGCGGCCGCAGCAGCTGCCGCATTGCATCATCAGAGCATGCTTTTGACCTCGCCTGGACTTCCGCCACAGCATGCTATTAGCTTGCCACCTTCGGCCGGTGGAGCTCAACCAGGTGGTCCTGGCAATCAAGGAAGCTCCACTCCTTCGAACAGCGAAAAGAAACCCATGCTGATGCCAGTTCATGGCACCAATGCAATGAGAAGTCTACATCAGCACATGTCACCCACCGTTTATGAAATGGCCGCTCTAACCCAAGATCTGGACACCCACGACATCACCACCAAAATCAAGGAGGCTTTGCTAGCCAATAATATTGGCCAGAAGATATTTGGTGAAGCCGTTTTGGGTCTATCTCAGGGATCAGTGTCTGAACTTCTGAGCAAACCGAAACCCTGGCATATGCTTTCCATCAAGGGCAGGGAACCCTTCATACGGATGCAATTGTGGCTCAGCGATGCCAACAATGTTGAGCGATTGCAGTTGCTGAAGAACGAGCGAAGGGAGGCCAGCAAGCGAAGGAGAAGCACGGGTCCAAATCAACAGGATAACAGTAGCGATACCTCCAGCAATGATACCAATGACTTCTATACCAGCAGTCCGGGTCCAGGATCTGTCGGCTCGGGAGTCGGTGGTGCACCGCCAAGCAAAAAGCAACGTGTTCTCTTTTCCGAAGAACAAAAGGAGGCTCTCCGCTTGGCTTTCGCTTTAGATCCGTATCCAAATGTCGGCACCATCGAGTTTCTGGCTAATGAATTGGGTCTGGCAACACGAACGATCACCAATTGGTTCCACAATCATCGCATGCGTTTGAAGCAACAGGTTCCCCATGGACCTGCCGGTCAGGATAATCCGATACCAAGTCGCGAGAGTACCAGTGCCACGCCCTTCGATCCCGTCCAGTTTCGCATCCTGCTGCAGCAGCGTCTGCTTGAGCTGCACAAGGAGCGAATGGGTATGAGTGGTGCACCCATTCCATATCCACCCTACTTTGCTGCCGCTGCTATTTTGGGCCGCAGTCTAGCGGGGATTCCCGGTGCGGCAGCGGCCGCTGGGGCAGCTGCAGCTGCTGCAGCAGTCGGAGCCTCTGGCGGTGATGAGTTACAGGCCCTGAATCAAGCCTTCAAGGAGCAGATGAGCGGATTAGATCTGTCGATGCCCACTTTGAAGCGGGAACGCAGCGATGACTATCAGGATGATTTGGAACTCGAGGGCGGTGGCCAGAATCTAAGTGACAATGAATCTCTGGAGGGTCAGGAGCCCGAGGACAAGACCACCGATTATGAGAAAGTGCTGCACAAATCAGCTTTAGCCGCCGCCGCAGCTTACATGTCTAACGCGGTACGAAGCTCTCGACGAAAACCCGCTGCACCGCAGTGGGTCAATCCCGCCGGAGCAGTAACCAATCCAAGTGCCGTTGTTGCAGCGGTTGCAGCAGCAGCTGCTGCAGCGGCAGACAATGAGCGTATAATCAATGGCGTATGCGTGATGCAATCCTCCGAATACGGACGTGATGATGCTGATAGCAACAAGCCAACGGATGGTGGTAACGATTCCGATCATGAGCATGCCCAGCTGGAAATTGATCAGCGTTTCATGGAACCTGAGGTGCATATTAAACAGGAGGAGGACGACGATGAAGAGCAATCGGGATCGGGTAATCATCTAGATAACGAGGACAATACCAGCGATCAAAAACTGAAGGTGGTCAACGAAGAAAAGCTCCGAATGGTGCGAGTTCGACGATTGAGCAGCACTGGCGCTGCTTCCTCCGAGGAGATGCCCGCCCCATTGGCACCGCCACCCCCAGCAACAGCAACAGCATCAACTTCTTCCAGTGGTGACAGCACTTCGAGCATTAACAGCAGCAGTGGCACCACCACCACCAGCACCACACCGGCAGTAACCACCGGTGGAGCAACCAATGCAACCGGTTGGAATTACTAGAGAGTAACTAAATATAAACTCAGTGCAATGTTGAGAGAAGCGCGTTTACTTGTGATTAAGTTTGAATGTTTAAACGATGTTAGGACCCAGGAGACATACATAAATACATACATAAAAGCATACATACATATATATATAGCTCTTAGGCCGAATCAATAGAAAACTCTTTTTTTTTTTTGTTTTTTTTTTATTATTATACATTAACTACTAAATATAGGCGTTAGTTGTAGACTATAAGATAGCCTTAGGTTGAGGCGTTGTAATAGTTGTAGCTAAAAGTTTAGAGACGCTATGCGATGATGATGATGAGATAAAGCAGCGCAAAAGTATTAATGAGAAAAAGGAAATATAAAAACCTATATATGAACCCCGACTTGCCGAAGAACTTTAACCAAAACGTCAAGATCCAATTGATAGTAAGATTTGATCTTACAAATGATTTTCGATTTGTTTCTACTTGAAGACTGTAAGTAAAGGCGGTAGGATTGATAACTACACACGTAATTCTATTCTATATATATATATATATATCCCTATTCATTTTTTTTTTTTTTTTTTTGAGAATCTATTATATGATTATTAGCAGTTTAGCTGGTAAATTGTAAATAAATAAATAAATAAATAAATAATTAATAAATAAATAAATGATGATAGATGACGGTGTACATAGATTTCTCGCGAGGCATGTTCTGATGTCGTTCTTCCTAAAAATCCTACCTTTTATCACCCTCAGCAACCAACTTGTTTAACTATCTTTTGATCTCAAGCATAAAAACAAAACAAAAAAACAAAAACGAAACGATACAGATATTAAAAAAAAGGGAACTGTGGAAGGCGTGGAGTGAAAATCCAAAGTAAAAGATAGTTTAAGGAAAAACAGAAATGCAGCGAGCAGAAATTTCCCCCTTATTTTGTTGCCCCAAAGAAAGGAAAAAATTGAGAAATGGAAAGGCAAATCCGAGATATAAAAAATTTTATAACAATAATATTTGTAAATTCTGAATTTACATAAAAATCACACACACACACATATATACAAAACAAGAAACCACACACGCACACACACACACACACACACAAAAATTGATTAATTCATAATTATAGCAAATATAAAAATGCAAAATGCACTAAATTATTTATAATCCAATTATTCTATAAATAATTATATATATATATATATACATATATAAAATTGAAAAGTGAAAAATTTATCAACTTAGCCGAACGGTAATTTAAATTTGCATTAAACCCTAGCATAAATAACAATTTTTTTCTGTGAATCTTAAATATTAAATGATGAAAATATAAACACAAAACCCACAAACCGCATATCGTACTAAAAACAAAAAACAAAAAAAAAACAAAAATACATAAAAGAAAAACTGAAAGAAAAGATAATAAAAACAAAAATTGTAATCTAAGAAAGCCAATTTTTTTTTTGCCTAGATCCTAAGTTTACAACGTAATCGTAATATTAAACAAATTACAAAATAAACAGCAAAAAACGAAAAACAAAACAAAAAGTAATCTGTTTTCCTATATGTGAACAAGAGACAGCAAACACTGAATACCAAGATGAGCAAAAAACAAATTTTAAGAAATACTAAACTTTTTTTTTCTTAGGCTAAATGTTTAAGCTAAACGTAAAACAGATTTTCCAAAATAAAAACAAAAAAAAAAATAAAACTAAATAAATTTAAACTACACAAAAACAATTTTTGCATAGGCCCAAAATTTGCCGCGCTATTATTATTATTATTATTATTAATTATTATTATTATTATTACATACATATTATATATGAGATGAGAAATAAAGAGAAACAAAAATTTACCAACATATACCAAACACATTTCAAAAACCTAAAATATACAATTTGCATCTTTAAGCAAAATTTATACAAGAAACAAAACAAAACAAAACAAAAAAATCCAACTTAAAAAAATATTTTTTAAAAATATGAAAAACATTTTTTGCCTACTGTCAGCGAAATTTGTTACGATCTTTTTTATAGTTATAATTTTTTTATATTTTCCTCCTGTTTGCGTTTAAGTTAACAAGTTAAATACTTTGCATTTTCATACGCTTTAGCTAAAGAAAAAATTAAATCTATATGAATATATGAGATAAACAACAAAAAAATAATAATAAATAAATATATATAAAATATATACAAAATATGGATAAAGTTGAGAAAGCTGAGACAAAAGCCGACACGACACGTTGAAATGGTTCGCAACTTTTAGTTTTAATTATTTCTTAAATACAATTTTTTTGTCTGCGTATTTTTATTATTATAATTGTAATTATAATATAAATATTATATGAAATATATATATATATATATATATTAAAAAGAAAAGGAAAGAAAGCGACAACATACCAATAATACATAAACATGAACGAAACTTTATCAAATAAAAATGTTTTCTTAAACGAAAAAAAAAACCCATCGATATCCTTTTTTTATTTTCCTACAACTACAACAAACCACCAAAAATTACAAAAAAAAATGCCGCTGAGGAACAAAAGTCCTCGCAATCTCTTGTAATCCCAATACAGCAATACACCCCCCTCCCACGTTTGCAAAAAAAAATCACACACACACACACTGAAACAATCTAAAATTGTATAGCATACTTTTGGGAGGCACAAGAAGTCAGAAGTCCTCCCTCTTCATCAAGCCGATATAAGCCTATATATATTATATATAAATATATATATATATTATAATATACATAATATATATATATACATTATATAATAATAATATATCAGCATTTTTATACATATTAAAACTAGTTATATATTTATTAACAATATGTGGTGCTAACCAAGTAAGACGTACAGATATTATCGAAGGAGAAGCGCCTACCCAGATTACATATAGATATATATATAATACAAATATATATATATATATTATATATATTTATAGACGAAATATGATATTAACGTAGGCAGTGGAAATTTTTTGCATAGATCCGTACTGCTCCAAAAATAAATACGTAATTAATTTTAATGAAAGCAATTTAAACAAAAGACGGTTATTAATTTAAATCAAATGAGTTGAGCTGTAAATACGATAAATTATGAAATTATCCTTCCAATTCACACATCAATACACAAACACGCACTTTTTTATACCAAGATTATTTTTTTTTTTAACTAATAGACACAAATATTTATAAATATAAATATGAATGAATTTAAGACAGTGGTGATATGCGCACACAGACTCCACACACACACACACACACAAAAACTCTCTGTAGTATTTGAGACTTTGCCAATTGTCCTACCTTCCCTTCTTTATCACCCATTAAATATTATCTGTAAATAAGGAAAAAAGCCCAAAGAAAGACCCAATCTTAGCGAAAAACTTCAAAAATTCAAAGGGTAAATAATTCAGACATTGCAAAGTAATAAAAGAAAAAAAAAGAAGACAAGAGAAAATAAAAACCAGACCATATCAATATTATGTTTAAAGCATAAGGATTAACAAGTCGAAGGGAGATATTTTAGCAGATCCAAAAACAAGAAACATAAGAACCGACTTGAAATAACCATATAGTGTTAACCAGCAGATTTATATATCTCTTTATAACATAAAAAAGTATTTAAAAATACAAGCATTCAGAACTGTTGAATGATAATGATGATGATGATGATGATGATAAAGAACCGTAGTTAACACATAAAACCAGATATATTGAACCGATACCAAACCGAATTCCCAAGTTTTCAACCGACAAAGATCTTGATAAGAAAAGCCAGCTCCGTTTTTCAGTTTTAAATCCGCCCAAAAATGCAATGAGAAACAAACAAAACAAAACAAAACAAAACAAAAAAAAAGGAAACAGAACAAAACAAATGCAAAGTGAAAACGAAGCGAGTGGAATAACAAATATGAAAAAGATTCTTAAGTATATTAGCAAAATGTGCCCAAAAAAAAAAAAATGGAAAACCACTTAAAAGCAGCAAAAATATCAAAAATATACATATAAACGAAAGTATATAGAAAACCAAAAAACAATCCATATATAGGTTTATATATATATATACATATATATATATATTATACATAGATATTAAACTTAGGCACATACACTTTTTGGCAACCTCGAAATCATTTTTTAAGACCTACGCAAAACATGAAATTTACCGAAATAAAATTTAACGCAACAAACAACAAAAAAAAAACCAAAAGAAAACATTTTTTTGTCGCATTTCTTGTATAAATGCACGAGCATAAAATTAACAACAATTAAAATTAATGAATATTTTTTTTAAATAAGCTAAACTGTAATTGTGTTTTTGATTTCACACACACATTGATAAAACGTATGTATTTCCAGAAAACAAAAAGCGAATGAAAAGAAATCAAATGAAAAAACAAGCAAACAGCCACAAAAACAATTATCAAAATAAACGTGAAATATGAGAAATGGTGCGAGACATTTTGAAATGTCACCGAACAAGAAACACGAAATAATGCGAATATAAATAATAATAATATGATTAATAAACTAGTTTATATAGCATGTAAAACTGAACAGAAAAATCAAATTCAATAAAGACGAATCTACTGTATTCCAATACGAAGGTTATATTTCATTTTTAAACGGTTTTGGATGAAAATATTATGAAAATATTAAAAATCAAACATTTTTAATAGTTTAATTTTAGTTTCCATCCTAATCAACGGCTTATATTTAAACTCAACATGTAGTTAAATGCTATAAAAGTCGCTTAAGCCGTGTAGAGGGCGTCTTTGTCAAAATAATTATCCTCTAGGTGTCGTCTTTAAATACAGCCTTAGTAAAGAAAATATAACTTCCCACATGTATTTTACAATACTCTACATTTTAATTCAAAATGAAGCTCATTGTTGTAAAACTTCCTTGTAGAGGGCGCATTGAACTAGCTAATCTTAAATCCCGGGTTTCATTCCAATTCAATAGAAGCTAAATGCTATAAAACTAGTGACAACTTTGTAGAGGGCGTAATTAACATTCTACATGTCAACACACAATTGACTCGTTGTTGCGTATAACATTTTGGGCGTGACTTACATTAACGACATGGACTACTGAAAGTAAAGTAGACCACCAACGGACAGCTTAACGAACCGGGAACGGTTAAAAGATGGCCGCCATTCTGTTTTTCCTTTCATTCGTTTTAACTACACTATGCAATCTGTAAACCATTTAAAATTTCATATTTCAAAAATAATAAATTGAATTTGCGAAAATATTGACATCATTGACATAATTTTTCCAATAACATTTTCAATGCAATTTAAAACTTTTCTAGCCAAAATGAAATACCTACTTATATATATGTACCGTTTCAGTCATTTTAAGCTGCTGCGCGCGTAACTTACTCTCCCGAAATGGATAACGGAGAAGAAGAGGGACCACCTAGGGAGTCCTTAGCGAATGGGGAAAGGTTCAAAGATGGCCGCCATGCTATTTGCTCCTTCCCATTTCCTAATTCGTTTTAACTACACTGTGCAACGTGAAAACCATTTACAATTTCATATTTCAAAAATTTCAAATTTAATTTTGCGAAAAATGAATTTTGAAAGTTTTTATGCTGCTGTTAATTTCGCTTAAGTTCACATAGATGTCGCAAAAAAAGGAATATAGAAACGACGCTTATATTTACGCTTAAAAGCGTTTGCCACTTGTTACTTGTTAATAAAGAAGTGTAACTCACCAGAAAGATATAGAAATTAATTATTTCGCAACGAAATCTTAAACGGGAATCATTTTTCA